TATATATATAGACACACAGATATTAAACAGTCTGTGTTGTGTCACACTCATCTGGTTCGTTTTACAAGATTTCATTGACAATATCTTTAATGCAAAATTCCTGCTATGAACATATTATGATTTATACTATTATTATTATATTATTATTATTATGATATAATGATTTATGCTAAGAAACATCAAAGCGGGTATAGCGCCATCTACCGTCACAAATTGTGATTCATTTTGGTTTATAAATTATTTATTATTTTCACACAAAATTACACATATAATTATCAAGAGTATATAATGGGAGTTCTCCCATATATACTTTTCGTTTCTATAATGTATGTCGGTGGTTGCTCAATTAAAACTGACTTCTTCTCACTCACTCATTTGTGTCTTTTTTTTGTGGTGAGCTACAGTGTCATTGACATTTTCATTATTATGGCCCCAGCAGTGCCCACCCCCTACGTATTCAGTAATGAACATTCCCCATGCGACTTAAACAATAGTGCACCCACCCCCCCCGTACATAAATCAATGCCGTAGATGTAAATCTGTAATGGTCAAAGCAGTCTGTGATGCGGGCTGCTTTTTCCGCGACCTTTGAAAATATGACGTGAGAATATCGATGCGTACGATAGCGCCCTCAGCCCCTGGCTCAAAGGACGTTAGGAATATTACACACTGACGCAACTAGAATTTGTCAGTTGTCCGATGGGGCAACTAGCCGAGAGAATAACTTGTCCGACATAGACTTTCACTTGTCCCGGGCAATCGGGCAACCATTAGTATCGAGGGCTGATATAGTTGTTATTATGTTTCTTCACAGATATTGTTTATGAGTCAGAAGGTAGAAAAACCAACGCTATCAGGTCAGCGGCTAAAGACCAGAAAAAGGGGTAAGTGTTCTTTTTTTATAATGGCATGCATTAGTGGAAAGATTGTTATATTCTTAAAGTTATGTGTGATCAGATCTTTGCTTAGAAATGTCAAACGTATTTTTTCTGAATTTTGCCAGGTTCAGCCTATTATAATAAAAGCAAGATGATTGCAGTTAATTACAATGTTGTGGCTTCGTTGAGCAATCCTTGCCGTGTCACGTGTTGCTTGTATCTGAGGCCATCCTTAAAAAATTCTGTTTGCTGTCCCCCGACTCATGATTTTTTTAGTGGGTAGGTAGGTAGGTTTTTTTGTGTGAGGCATAATAGAAATAGTTATTTTAAGTCTGTCCTCATGTTTGCCACACATGCTTTGTGTTTCAGTCTTAACTATGAGGAATGAAAAACAAAAATGGAACCCAAAATGTAAAAAAAAAACTTCGGTCGCGGCTATTTTCGTGGGTCGGTTGGCAGACAGCAAACATATAATTTTTTAAGGATGGCCTGAGCTATTATTCCTGTGTCTAACAAGTACCACGCAAGTTGATACATTGTCTGCCTTCATGAGTAATTTCTCGACCTAAATTTTGCGCTCATAAACTAGTGCGATACATCTAGGTAGTAACGTGGCATTGCGTCATGATTTGCTTACAAGTGTCTGCAAAAATATTTGATACATGTAGGGACAGTGATTTTCCATTTCAAAAAATTGCCTTTTCCATTTGGGAAAATCATGAATTTCGTTTCAAAGTAAAGAAAAAATGGAAATTCCGTTTTGCCATAGAGATTGTACACACCAAAAATGCAAAATTCCATTTACATATATTTGCATGAAAAAAAGGTATTTGGTACAACCTTTGAAAGAACCTGTAGGGTAATGTGTTCATAATAAAATATGTAATAAACCGAAACACATTGCTACCAAGTCATAATTGTAAGTCATTTCGCTCTGAAACTTGTCTGAATGTAAACTATATCATTACCAATACTATTGTCGCCGGTTTTTGTGTGATTTTATTGAAATTTCCATGTTGTAATATGTTCAAATTACGTTTTCCGCGTTTTCCGTTTGAAAACATCTTTTCCGTCTAATGGCCGTTTTCGTATTTTCCATCCGTTTTCCGCGATCGCGGGAAATCACTGTCCCTATACATGGTTCATAGAATGCAATAAGGCAATGTGGTCATTGGTTGATTCTCATGTAGATGAAAAGGAGAAGTATGATCCTGTAGCCTTCCGAGACACCATAATACGAGGATTCAACGAAGCCGGCAACGACCTTGATAAAGTGTCCAAATATCTTGACGCAGCTGGTAACAAACTCGACTACAGACGTTATGCAGAGGCCCTCTTCGACATATTGTTTGCTGGCGGCCTGTTAGGTAATCAACCTGTTTATTGATATATATATATATACAGAAAAGGGTATACTTGTAAGTTGTTGCATGTGTCATTTTACAACAGTTAATCAGTAAGGTCTTTCAATATCATCAGGAGTAGATAATAGGGAAGGAGTGTGACATCAATAAACAAGGGAAATTCGTCATTTACTAGCCAAGTTAAAATACCTACGATTTACTACGCGTAACGCAACCACCAGCAAGCCACATTGCCCGCCGAGTTAGCGATAGCGCGTTAGTAGCTGCCTTTTGTTTCAAATAGCTTTCTCAACGCATGGATTTTGCTGGCAACAGAATTGAAAATCGACCAGGGCTCGAATTAACCGACGGCACC